GTGTGTGTGTGTGTGTGTGTGTGTGTGTGTGTGTGTGTGTGTGTGTGTGTAAAGTAAAATGGACAATGTTTGTTTGTAATTAAGACAAAGCTACATAATGGGCTATCTGTGCTCTGCCTATCATTGGTATTAAAATCTGGTTTCTAGCTTTGTAAATCCACGGACATAGCACTGGGGGGTAAAATGGACAAAATACATAGATCTATAATTGTTTTTAACACAAACTTTTTTTTTCTTGAATAAGAAAATTATAATAGTGCCATGAAAAGAATATAAAACAATGGCACTACAAACAGGTTAGATTAACAGTAAGACTACTAACAGACAATTGAATCAGTATTTATTTTTAAGTTTTTTTTTTCCAGCTGGAGCAACATTTTTTTTTTACAAGTAATATTCATAATTGATACAAAATGATGATATGAATATTTTAAAATATACAACAAAGAAGCACCTTTATTATTCTATCAATAAAATACTAAATGTTTACATTAATAATCTACCTTAACATCTTTTAACTCTGTGTGTACTGCTGGGTCAAAGGGCACATGAAACTTTACACTTACATTCAAAATTTAATTAAACTATTTTAATATTAATGTACATCAATAAGTTTGCCATCAAAATGTTGTTTGTAGTTCAGCTTTTTTATATTATCCAAGTCTTAATTTCAAAAGGAAATTTTAAATAAATTCTCAATCTTTAACTCTTTGTCACATGATATACCTGGCACTCTAATTTCCCCTTTTTAGTTTTTCTTTTTACCCTTTTATGTGTTTCAAGGTGTTTCACTGTTATATATTTTTGTCACACCCACATGACAAACTCTCAAATTTCTCTCTGTCTTTCAAGGCATGTACATAGTTTTCTCTGATATTGTTATCTGCCTGTCTGAACTCAGGAATGGACTTCACACTTTTTCAAACTATTTTGGTTGTTCACAAAATCATACATTTTAAATCAGATACTAAAATAGAATGACACAATACTACTATCGCTGAAATGACTTTTTACCTAATCTATAAATACATTAAAAACATTGTTATTTGCTTGGAGCATTGACTTTGTTCAACACACAACATTTTTTTGGTAATCAACTTCTTTCCCAACAAACTACAAAGTTAAAAACACAAGAGGATGGGAAACTGAATTTTGCACTTCCTATTTGAAATGTTTATATCCAACAAAAAGTAAAAAAAAATGTTTCTAATTTTGTGGTTTAATGGGAAAGAAGTCAGTTTCCAAGACAATGTTATGTGTTGAACAAAGTCAATGCTCCAAGCATATAACAGAACGTTTTTTTTAATGTATTTATAGATTATGTAAAAAGTCAGTTAACTTGTAGTAGTTTTGTGACATTCTAGTTTAGTACCTGATTTAAAATGGATCTTTAGAAGGAACATGAATGATTTTCTGAACAACCAACATAGTGTGAAAGGATGTCCGAGTGAAGTACGTTTCTGAATTCAAATAGGCCTATTTGTTAAGGCAAGTCTTAAATTTGTTTATGTATATTTTTTATTGTTATAAATTTTTTAACAAAAATTAATGAAATGTAAAAATTAGAAATTACTAGGTTAGCTAACAAATCACAACAGAAAAAAATTAAATAAAAAATTTCACAAGATCGTATGTTTGCATGAAGTTCTCCCACTGTGGTTAATCAACTATCTCGTCATTAGATAGGGTCTAAGTAACATTTTAAGGTAATACAATTAAAAGCAAATAGCTGTGATGGTTAGAAAGATAACCTTTGTAAGAATAAGTAAATAAAACTGTCTGTTACAATCTGCAGTCAATCTACAAAAAAACAAAACAATGTATTCTTCGCTTTATTTCATATTTTTGAATATTTTGTTTCACTGTTTTTACTATAGTTGGTGTTGTGGTAGAGAAGATAAGAGGGAAAATATAGTTTTACAAAGAAAAACTTTTGGAGGTTCTAGAGGTTATGCAAACTAAATACTAAAAATAAGATGAAATATTTTTTTAATCTTGGCACAAAAATCACATTTCACTAAGACTGACTCAGTAAAGGTTATGTAAATTCTGACACATCTTTAGTAAAAATACTTTTATCAAAAAATCTTATTTGTGTTCCACATACGTGTAATGTTTACTAAAAGCTTACCAAATTTTGTGAAGAAACAACTTAGCAAATGTGGAATTAGGCTAAACAGAATGGTTAAACTATGAACTTAAAAAAAGAACAACACAATTTTCACAAACTCTCACGAATATTTACTATATCTAAGGAATATTCACATTCAATACAGCGACATCCCATTTGTAAGCATCTGGCATAAGCTTCCATTGATGATTCACTCTTCACTTGATCCCCCGTGAGGTATCTATACATGGCAAACAAATGTGAAACAATAAAAACTATCTTTTTTATTTTTCCTATTTGTCACATTAAGGTTTTTTTTCTGTATCAAAGAATGACATAAACAACATATCCTGAAGATAAAACCTCAACAAACAAAGCATCAGATATCATTGTTACAGGCTGGAATATCACAATATGGTTCAGAAATTCCCATAATTTTATTAACATTGTTTTCTTAAAAAGGAATTTTTGTTACTATTGAAAACAACACGCTCTACCTAATTTTACTTGACAAAGCTAAAACAATTTAAAATTCAATTTGTTTTTAATATGGCTACAAAATTTAACAATGTAATTGTAATCATTATTTAAAGCCTTGTATTTGTTGATAACACATATGCTTAAAAATGATTAATGTACACACCTGATTGAGAATGCAAGCTAAGAATAAACAGAACTCACGTGTTGTGCGATGAGGCTATCCAGTAATGAGACAAGGGTCTCATCATATCCTGGTTAACTTCATCATGTTTCTTGTCCCATATTTCATTTTGTTTGGAAAATAAAAAATCTAGGAACTAAAAAATAAAAGAGATGAAATATTTACATATTAAAACAGGAAATCGTTAGTTGAAGATACAAGAAAGGTTCCCTTTTTAAAAAACACTAAATAATTACATGATCAACTCTTAAAATCAATTGCTTTCAAACAATAAATAACATTGTAAAACAATTTCTTCTGTCATTCTGTTTACTCATAACAAGTGGAAGTTTGATTAGTTTTCAAAAAGAATATCAGATACCTTATATCTGATAACAAATAAATATCCTTATCAAAGAAGTACAATTCTTCCATATAAGCCTTAAGGATCTAAAAGTACTTGTAAGTGTTATACATCATTCCTGGATACTTCCCATGAGGATGTGGATATCTCATGTAAAAGTTCTAAATAAATCTACCTCAGTTACAAGAAGCGTCATCTTAGATGCTCCATAAGAGTATGTGGGTTATCTTATACACAAGTTTTGCCACAGTTACATGAAATATCCTCTTGGGTGCTCCAAATGAGGATGTGGGAGTCTCATATACAAGTTCTAAACAAATCTCCCTAAGTTAAACGAAATATCTTGGGTGCTCCACATGAGGATATGGGTATCTCATATTCAAGTTCCAAACAAATCCACTTTATTTGCATGACCTTCTTGTTTGCCTATCATGAGGTCATGGATACCACAGACAAAAATTTAGCTGATCAAAACCTACCTCAGCTACAGTAAAATATGGTTCTTGGACATCCCTCATAGGATCTTGAAGATATTCTCTCATGAACTTGCTGACTTCTTGTTCATCATCTGCCAATGGATCCTATTCAAAATTTAATGGGTGATGATCAAAACAAAGTGACTATCTGCACAATGAAATATTTTCAATGTCACGTGAATGGCACTGAAGCTTTGTACCAAACTGATTTCTATGAATCTATACTAAGTACACATAGCAACGTTTACTTTCATTCTGAATTTAGTAAGCTTTTACTAGATATTACAAATATACTGTACACAAAAAATTTAGTATTTAAGCCTGAAGACAGACCTCTTGTTGTTGGCACTCAAACCCCACTTTTTTTTGTAACAACGTTGTTGGTCCAAAATACTATTAATTTTTATTTCAAATATATACATTTTAGTACCTAAAGCATCATCATAAATTTAAAACAGAATGCTCTAAAACTATTGTAATTTAACTGGTTTTCTAACTAAGCTATAAACAGGTTAAAAATATTCCATTACCTAGCTGAGCAGAACACCACAAAGGTAAACAATAAAATTGAGGATTAATAATTCCTAACCTGGAGCCTAAATGAATTAGCCTTTTAATAAATCTCGAAAAGTATTTATCTCTATTGGATATGAATAACCCAATAGCAAATGTCAGAGAGAATTACTGATATTTTTGAAAAACGGAATAAGATAGTAGGAGCATGGTATGCAAGTTTGACTTTCTTGTTTATATTTCAGTAAAACAAAAAGTTTGGAGAATACATATATCTTTACACAATGGCTTAGTAACACCTATAATATGTGTGTGTAATTGATGGGACACTCAGAAGATCATATAAGAATAAAAGTAAAATATAAAATTGGCAATTCAGAGCAAAGAAGTATCACGTGTATCAAGAATATTTCCTTTAGAAATTAACTGTTATATTAATTTATAATAACATTAATTAATTAAATTGCAAATGCAATTCTGTAAAAAGGTTATGACAATAGCTCTTTGACCAAGCCATACACATAGGGTTAACTTATTATTATACTTATCTTAAATAAATCAGTAACTTAATCAACTTTATATTCACAAACAATTTCAAGTAATGTCTTTACAATTCATATATATTTTTTCTAGAGATACAAAATTTAATTAATTTAAGAATTTATGTAATTTTGCATTCCTCATTTTTGATTAAACGTTCACAACTATCTTATGTTTCTTGAACATCTGGGTGAACTGAGAAGAAATGTTTTATCGGCTATAATACCTTCTGTTCATTTCTTAAGAACTCCTGAAACTCATGCAGGGTAATCTTTTTCCCATCACTAGAGAAGCTAGACAAGTTTTCACTGAAAACCTGCAAAAAAAATTACATGTACAATTAGTAGCATCGTCACTTCAACGGTAAACATCCGATGCCATCTGGGTATACTTTTCTTATGTATACTCACACATACAAAATAAATCTAAAGATCAGCTGTATAAAGCACAATTATTGTAGACCACTTCTACACTGGCATACATAAAAATTAATAACTCATACATGAAACTATCTGAAAAACATACACTTCAAACATAAAGCATAATAACTAATAAACATTTTTAATCTAGACTGTATTTTATTTTTCTGGTAAGCTTACAATTCATAATAAAATAAAACCAGCATTGGACAAAGCTGTATACTGTTCTAGAAATAAAAGTTGTGTGGGCAAGGAAATTACAAAATGCAAAATAGAAAATACAGTAATAGTGAAAAACTTGCCAAATTAAAATGATTTTACTGGTAAACATGAAAACGTTTTGGGGCAACAGTAATCCAATTAGAAATTATGTGTAGCTGTTTAAAGAAAGATTTGCTAATATCTAGTTTCAAATTATGATCAAAAAACAAATGAAAAAGTAATTACCTAACAAAATTAAACAAGCAATGGGACCAATAAAGTTAAAGTATTAGCTTTACGTAGCATACAAAGAAATACAAAACCCAGATATACTTAGATTATCTGAAGGTATGGGGTCAAGAAAGATCTCTGACATTATAACTAGAAGTTTAGAAATTTACAACTAGATGAAAAAAGAGATTTCTATGGCAAATAGATTCTTAGGAAAAAAACAATCTCAGCTTTCAGATGATGTATTTATGATTTTATTAGCTTTAGATGTTTCATGCCATCAACTTAAAAAATGTACTGTTTTCAAACTATTTGAGCAACAAATAAGCAACATGTTTACAAATGTGTTTTTCATGTTGACAAGTTTCAGCCACATATAAAGAATTCTTTAAAGTTTAACAGTGTCATTTGCCCTCATTAAAAAACAAAATCCAGGCTGAAAACAGTCAAAATAGACTGCATGTCTAAGCAAGTGATCTTCATGAATGAGGAATTTGTAGAAACTGAAGTTGGTACACACACACAGTAGGGGTGGGAGATTAGTCACAAAATTATTTTTGATGGTTGATTAGGCATAAACAACAGATGGTCAATTATTAATCTATTACTGGTAGCATTGTAACTATCAATTAAAAAGTTTTACGTAATTATTAATTTTGATGAATATTACTGAACATTTTCATAGTATGGCTTTCATAGCTATATGATTCAGTACTTGCGACCCGAATAGTGTGACCTAAGATTCATCTAGACTCAATTCTGCATTGACATGCCCACTCACTGGCCAATTACAGATATTAAGCACGTGGCAGCAAGGTCTACCCAAAACATGTCATGCATAATTAATAAGGATGACAGAAAAAAGAAATTTTCACTTTGGGGTTCCTAGTATTTAGTTTAAGTTCTGCAGCCAGAAACACTTCCAAACTAAATAGATCATT